GTAGGATACCGGTCGACCTTGAGAATGGACATGATTCCTTAACGCGCGTTTTCCCTTTTACGGTTGGGTTCCGCGTTCGCGTAATTGCCGCACTATATTGCTCGATTCGCAAAATTTCAGTGGCCCGTATCGCCGAAACGTTAATCGCCTTGTTTCTCCCACCGACCAGTCACGTTCCACCGAAACAACGCTGCAACGGTATAATTTACCGTGATATCGTTCTGTTTCGGCAACTTTGCGCCTGCGTGAAAGCAAACGGTAACTTTTAAAGTTCCGCTCACTTACGACTTGTGTACATCGTTATTCCAGTTGGTCGAACGCGGCCACCCTTCGTAATCTCATTGTGAGAACAACGAAGCAATCGTGACAGATCGATCGTCCCACTTTGTGCCTGAATACGCGAGACACAAAGATACAGTGCAAATATATCGTAAAATCTACGTGAATCCAAAGAATTTCGTGATGTCATGAATAAAGCACGATGAAGTCCAAGAAGAATTCTTTAATCGATCTAGGGTGAGGTGGCGCGACAGCAACAAAGGGATCCATCGGGATCTGTTACCGTGTACTTTTTATGATAAATAGATGAAAGTCCATACCGTAGACCCGGCCGTGCAACGAACGGCATGTATGCTAACTAAATGCAAATACATCAGATCTGCATAATCTGCCACGGAACTTTTCCCTGTGTTTCGCATACCGTTGTCTTTGACCAGCCACTCAGCTTACGCGGAGCGGCGTTTCGTTCGACGTGCCCTTCCTTGCTGGTAAGGTTCGACCCCGACAAAATACAAGCATTCGGACACAAACCAGTTTTTCCGTCAGTGTTCCGGAAACGGTCACGACAAAGTCACAAATCCGGCGAGAAATGGGAAGAGATTTATAACTCGAATCCCTATGTGCGACGTTATCTGTGCTTCGAAGAAAAGAGGGAGACTTTCTGGGAAGATGCACATGGGTGACGGTAGCCCCAGGTATACGAGACGGTGCGAAAGTGGAATCTTTAAGGAGGCAAGAGGAAAAGAATTTCCTTGGAGTATCGGTTGGATCGCGCCAGGTTAGCAGGTAGTCGACGATGAATACGAATTCTAACGGTCCGCAGAGGGGACACACGGTCGACGCTTAAGAATTAGCAAATGCAACGGTGAGATGCTGGCGCTACTTTCGTTACGATAAATAATGGAGGATAATTTTCCACGAGTAAAAACGAATATTCACTGCAGATGTTACAACGTATCGAGTATTATGCTCGTTAAATGATTTACAGACAAGGGGCGCGTTCGCGATTAACGGTCAACGAGCCGTCGATTCGTGAATGACGGGTATAAATAATCGTCCGATCAAGCATGTTCGAGCCCAGATTTACCGTGATTTATCTTTCTACGCGTCCCGGCCTTTTGCATATAACTTTCCGCTGGATTGTAGGGTAGCTTAATTGACACGTCATCTCTTTTCTTTTTCCACGGACGACCATTCGTCTTACCTTCCATCCAGCGTTGGCCTTAAATCAATTCCAACTACGGACAAATTACCAAAAAGAATTAATGGTTTCAACGCCGGTCCTAATTGGCCCGAAATCATGCGAACGAGATTCGAGCGCGATGTTCAAACCTTATTCCCGATCGATGACCATGCCCTTTGGATATAAACAGCAGGAGATCCACCCTTGTCTGATTTTATCTGACCAACCAAAGTACGTTCTACGCCCACGTGAAATTAATAGGCGCGATTCTTTTCCGGGATTTGCTAGGGAGCGAGCTTAACGCGTGAGCGTACGGATAACCTTTAGAATATTTTAAATAATCCCGTTCCCGAGTAGGTGGACGAATGAATGAATGAAACTACCCACACGCTGACAATGAAGCGCTTTTGCTAATCTAAAGCTAACTCATCGCCGAGTGTAATGGCGATTATGAAACTCCCGCTACAAAGTTGCTTCGCGAACTCGAACGAGTCAAGATATATGGTCCGCGTTGTCAAGGAAACTCGAGAACTTAGAAAATTGAGCAAGATACAATATGAATTTTAGATTACTTCACGGAACATTCGACTTCTATTAGTTAACTGTTCCGAAGGCGGATTTTTAATATTCGAATGAAGGCTTTGTGATCGTTTTACATCGGGGGAAAGGTAGATACGTGTTACGAGATATAGAAATCACTGTGCGTGTAATATCATTTCAGGATTATCGTTTAATTAACAAAGTGAACAGCGGTCCAAAACGTTTACAGGGAGAGAGTTAGTATTCTCTCCATCAATTTATAACAAGTTTTCTACTTTCGTATCGCATGCGCAGAAAGAAAAGAGTGCTGAAAACTTTGAAATTAGTTACATGCAAGCGATATCTTCGACGTGACGCCACAAACTAGCAGGAAAACCACGTCACGCGTGCGACGAAACATAAATCTGCTAGAAATTTTCATGCAGTTTCGCGATTCTATAATTAATTAATACGATTCTCAATGGGAAAACTTGTCGCCGAGTGGATGGAGAAAAAATTTCAAGAGATTAATACGTAGCCGTGATCATATCGACGTATCGATCTTGAAATCTTTGTGGGCGGTCTGACACTACCGATCAAATTAATACGATTCCAAAGAGAATACGAAACTCCATTCGAATGCAGTGAGAAAGGTGATAAATTGCTTACGAGGTAAGCGAGACAGTTACATGGGTGTACAATGTAAGAAATCAGATGACTAGATTGAATTCTATAAATAGAAAAACTTTTTCTTCTACAATCGATTTCCGTTTTAACATAAATTTTTATTAGAAGTAATTGTTGTTTTTCTACGGATATGTCGCGCGCAACTGCTGACTTTTCTTGATCTTCTGTTTCATTGGCTGATACAATTCAATCTCCTGCTTTATCAGTTCGATCTTGGCTTTCAGTTCTTTTTTCATCGTTATCATTTTCTGCATTTCCATCAACTCTTGCCTAAATAAAAACTCAGTGACACCGATCGAGTAAAAATGTTTCACGTTCCATAGAGAATGCTTACTGAGCCACTAGGAGTCCAGCAGAAGTGCTTCTCTCGTTCAAAGTCTCTCGTATCTCATTGAGCACCAAGTGAGCATTGTTTACGCGTTCCCGAATTTTAGTGTTCTCTTCGCGTTTTCGATCGAGATTCTTTTGCTCGAATTCTATGTCCTCCGCTATGCATACCTCTTTTTCCTTGTATTGAGCTACGCCATTTACTGTTTCTGCGATTCTGATCGAAATGTCACGAGAAAAATTATCTAAAATATAACGTAGTTCATACAGACGTACTTGATTCGAAGCCTTTCTAATTCACGGTCTCTTTCATCCAATCTGTCCTTGTAGCCACAATTGGCGATGTGAAGCGCCTCGTAATCCATCGTAGTCATTCCTTCTCCTAAAGTTTCAGCGATTTTAAGATGCATATTCAAATCGTCGAGACGATGTTGAAGAAACACGTAGCTCTGACGATCTCTGGCCAAGATCAAACGTCGTGTAGTCTGATAAAAAAGGTTCGGAAATTATCGTTGATTTAAAAGGAATGAATAATTGGTAGTAAGTAAAAACACCTGTCGACGTATCAGATTGTCCATCATCTTCTCCGTGAGTTTCCTGCCAGTTTTCGAGAAGACTAAGCCAACAGATACTTCTTTCTGACGGTTGAGAAACAGTCCAAAGATTCGATCATCCTCCTCTTTGAGCGTCGTAACCTTTTGCGTGTAATTCTGCATCTCGTACGTCAATTCCGCCTCCCGAGTCAATATCTCGTCGACCTGCATCTTGTATTCGCGCAGCGCTTCCTTGTATATCTCTTCCATTTGTTCGCGGGTCTTTGTGGAATCCGAGGGTGTCATACGTTGTTGAGTCTATCCGAACGATCGCTTATGCAACAAGAGGTCAAACTCCGACGCCATTGTTCTTTCGCCAAAAGGGGCACTTATGTAATATGGAATGTAAAGCATCGAAAATGACGAATCTGAGTATTGTAGCCTGACCTTCTTCATATTTCGAGTGACCCATATTTCCAACAGCCTATTTTTCCTTCTCAGATTGGATCTTTCGGATAGTAATTCTCTCAATTTGTCGATAATCGTTTCACGTTCAGCCGGACTCTAGAAAAGAAATGTTAGGAACCTTTTTGTCATTTATTTCTTCTGCACTTACAATGCATCGATCATATTGTGTGCAAATATCCGGATCAAAAGTAGAAATACTGCGAGCAGCTAGGCACTTACAAGGATAACGACGGTTTATGCGCACCTCTATAGGTATCTCGGCAAACACGTGTTCAGATTCTACCGGACTCGGCGCTTCCTCTATAACCTTCTCCTCGATGGTAGAAACCGTCGTGGAAAGCGACATCTCCTCCTCTTCACCTACTTCTTTCTCCTCGTGAAATTCTTCCTCCTCGTACCTATCATCTTCGAACAGATCCGTAATAACATTCCACGCGGGCTCTATTTCTTTTTCTGATTCCCTCTCCTCGCTTCGAGCTTCTTCCTCTTCCCTTTCTAACCCAAAATCTTCCAAAGAATAAGACACATCGAACTTATATTGTGTGATCTAACGAAAAAAATTGAAGGAATTAATCGTTCGAGGTGAAAGAGGTTCGTAAGAATCAGAACGGTGTTTGATATCTCATCGACGCCTTCTAGATTTAAATACCTTGTCTTCGTCGGATTCTAACGCAACGCTAAAGTTTTCTTTCTGCGGGGGTGGCGTCATGTTTCGGATAATCGAGGGACACAGGCACAGAAATTCAGCGTGTACGTAATTGGAGACGTTGCAACGTCGAGACGAGAGGGATGGGCAAACGTGGCACCTGAACGTAAGTGAATACGGAGGAAGGAAACAGCTGCGGGACGAAGAAAACAGTCGAACGAATTCGCCGTAGCTGGATCGACGCCTCCTCGAGAAGGCCTCGAGCAGCATGCAGTCGACCTTGAAGATCGAAGATGATCTTCCCTCTCGAGAGCGCGCTGGCGCGCGTATACGGTGTTGCTTGTTTAACTGCTCGCGCTGGTCTCGCGTCGGAGAAATGCTTGGGAGGAAAAGTTCCTCGCGGGACGTCGATTAAACCGCTGCGAGCTACCGGACACCGTCAGTGCGGATGCACCGCGCATCCTGCGGTGTGCAGGCTACGATTTCATCTCTCTATGTGCTTTATTCCACGCTGCCACGGTCTCCATGCTGATGTATGAAAAGTTTATTTATGGGAGACGTGGCTCGTTCGATCACGCGAGAACCGCGTGACGGTGGAACACAACGAGCTGAAACCCGACTATCATTCTGTTCGCCGGACGTTAAACGGCCAGGAATTAATAACCGGCGCATACGTGGCAAAAAATCTGAAAAGGTACGACCACGCTGGGCGTTGTTCTCGCCTTTGTCGTTTATCGTTTCTCCTTTCTCTACCTCAGTTTGTTTTCGCGGTTCTCGCGTACACGTAGAGGAAAACGTAGACACGATTGTTCGAAGCTAACAACTCTCTCTCGAGAGAGCTCCAACGGAACGAGCCACCCAGCGCAAGCTCGGATTCAGTTTCCCTTGATTTACCAGGCCCACTTGGATTTCTGCGCTTCGAACAATTTATCGTATAGGATCTTTCCCTATTTTAATCGGGGAATCTGCGCTCGGCTGATAAATTGCCGCGTTTGATTTCCCGAGTTCAGATTTCACCGACGATACGAGAATAACAGTAGTAACGGTGATTTGTCTTGGTCACTGTCGGTTGGCCGAACCGCCGATTACCATCTTCCTTCTGCCCTTCGTACTCGAAAAACTAAATCGCTCTAAGGTTCTTTACGGGTGTACCTTTCGCTTTTAATAATTTCGTAACAGTGCGTTTACGCTTCACCGGGGAAAATATGCGGAATAACGAAAAGGTGCGTGCATTCGACCAATACTGGTCTTTGCTTTACGAACGGCCCTACGGGGATTAGATCTCGTGAAAACGAAGAAAGAGGAACGAGGCAACCTGGCAAGTGAACAAGAGACAGAGACGGAGAGTGGGGTACTTGAGGCCGCGTGGGCCGCCAAGACTGCATTCCTGTAGGATCAAGGATCCCTGCTTGAGTCGCGTATGTGTAAGTACCTTCTGTGTACGTGTCTCTGTACTCAGTCTGTACTGGTGTAACTATGTACTTGTGTCTCGATGCCAGGCCGTATGCACGAGCACACGATTACACTCGGACTCCCCCTCAAGAGCGCGCACACATACGCAGTTAGTGCGCGAATGGTCGCAGAGGGTCGTCGTTGTGGCCATGGTTCGATTGTCAAGTATCGAATCCCCGCGGCTTTTTTCCCTGCCACGATATACATGCCTCGGTGTGCAGTAGGAAGAAGAAACAAGTTTTTACATCCCGATGACACTGACGTACCAATTTCCTGAGTTCCAGTTCCCGAATCTTTATAGCCGGCAGACAGGCCGCGACAAAATTTATTGGTCGCTCCGGCGAACGTTCCGTGCGCTGCCAGTACACACGCAACGACTGCGCGGCCAGCTGCCCAGGATCGAGACCGAAAAGAAACGAACGCGTACACGCTCGATGGATCGATCGTTTTAATAAGAACCGTACGATCGACTCTCTTCCCGGGGCCTTGTAAAAATGCCACGCTGCTCGCTATCAATAGCCGCCGTCGGAGGAATTCAGAAAATGTCACACGAAGGCAGAACGAGTCGTAGGAGTTGTAGCCAGTGTTTCAAGAAAGCGACAACGTCTTCGAAAGGAATCGAAGGTGGAGAGGAAAAAAGCTGCTCGAAACGGAGAGAACAAGCTTGTTGGCGAGCCAATGACGAACGTGCTTTGACCGGTGTTTAACGAGTTAAGTCACGAGAACGCTCTAAGGACCCCTCAAGGACGATCATCGAAAATAGTGGCTGCTTTTCCATATTTCGCGTGATCGGTGCACGGGTCTGCGCGCGTGGTAAGAGTGGCAGAGGTCGTACGCTCTCGCGCACATCCCAAGCCGTTCGTTGGCCTTTCCACGGATTTGATTTCCTTTCAAATCGACGCCGTATTCCTGGCTCGTCCATGCAGGCTGCGCCGATGGAAACTGGACTGACTGGGTTTAACGGCGCGTCTTTAAGCTCATGTCGGTGCCGGTCGTACGCACGTTGTGCGTGCACGCGTGTACCCGTGTGGCCGAGTGCGCCACCGCGCGCTCTTCTACAAGAGAAGGAGACCGCCGCGAACGCTGGAAGAACGTG